AGCTTACAAACACATTGGAATTTGATTGGAGAAACGACTTGCCCAATTTGGGATATCTAGCCCGAGTTTGTTGTTATTTGTTGTGCTTTTTGAGTTGGATTCCTGGATTTATTTCTTCTGTGTCATTTCTGTTCAGTGCCATATTTGTTGGCCTATGATGTTTTTCTCGATTCCATTTTATTCCTCCATGCTATTTAAACATTATGTAAAACTGCTGGGAGAGATCATTCAATCTTAGAAGGTCTGATACCACAAGTTAACTGATGACACTCAATTCAATTTCTCTTTTCTGTCTAAATCCAAGAGAAACTGTTTTAAAGCCTTGTCGCATGAGAAAAGAATGCTGAAATGGAACAGGAGAGTAGATGCTTTCTCTGTGCCTCTCTGTATGATGTCATAGCAATTCTGTTCTCTTCCCAAGGGAGACATGTCTTTTGCCATAGTGGAAAAATTTGTTCAACAAAAGGCACACTTTTAATTACTGTCTCCCTCAGGAAGAGACCTGACTACAACATCACACAGGGAGGCACAGAAAAAGCCGATACTCTCCTGCTCCATTTTGACTTTCTTTTCTCATGCGACAAGGCTATTAGTTCTGATCTACTGTCTGATGTCAGTAATGAATTGGTGTTAGGGTGAATAAGTTGAAACATTGATTGTAAGGAAAATCAGGGGGTGGGGTTTCACTCGCCATGGAAATGCAGATTTTCATTTGAGATATATTTGTGGATTCAGCTCCTAACCTAGATGAGCAAGCTTCTGTGCTAGCTAGGAGTGCATTTGCACAGTTAAATCTAGTGTGTCATCTTACATATTTCTGGGGATGTTGGATTTGGTCATGGTGACACATGCCTTAGGGCCTTTGCAGACTGCCAGAAATAGTGCACATTAAATTGAGGCACTGCCCTGGCTCAGTGCTAGGGAATCATGGGAACTGTAATTTATTGTGGCACCAGAGCTCTCTGCCAGAGAAGGCTCAATGTCTCAGAAAAAAATACAATTCCCATGACTACCTAGCACTGAGCCAGGGCAGTGCCTCAATTTAATGTGCACTATTTCTGGCAGTCTGCAAAGGCTGTTAGTTACATTACATTTGGACTACTGTAATACAATTTATATGTGTCTGCTCTTGGAAAGTGTTCAGAAATGTCATCTGATCCAGAACAGTGCAGTTTGGCTGTTGCTAGAACTGGATAGAGGGAGCACATATTGTTTATACATTTATCATTTAATGCTTATTTATTAAAATAGTTATATCCCACCTTTTATTATAAAATCTCAGGATAGCATAAAATAAAATCATTTTAACCAATCTAAAACAGCATGGTGTGGTGATTTGAGCATTGGACTATGACTCTGGAGCCCAGGATTCAATTCTCCACTTAGCCATGGATACCCACTGGAGTGCCTTGGCTGGGTCATACACTCTTTGCCTCAGCAAACCTCATGATAGGTCAGAAATGGCATGAAGGCACACAAGAGTAGTCAGAAATGCCTTGAAGGCACACAACAACATCAAAACAGTAAGCAATAATTATAAGCAGACTGAAAACATGTTAAACAATTTGATAATTTAAAATAAGTTAGTTTGAAATCACTTCAAAACAATTTAATACCATGAATATTCGCCAATTTCGATAAAATCAATTTATTCCCTCAAAGGCTTTAATAAATACCCATGTTTTTTACTTGACACTGGGATGAAAACAGTAGTGGAGCCAATTGGGCCTTTTGGAATCCTTGATATAATAATATCTGTTTCTTTGCAACTTGGAAGTGTTAGTCATGACCCATAAAGCCCTGTACAATTCAGGACAAGGCTATTTGAAAGATTGCATTCAGCTATATTTGGGTTTTAAGATGCCTGGGTTTTAAGATTTTAAAGGGAGACCATTTTTCTTGATCTCAACAGCATCTAAGACTAGTTTTTCATATCCTCAAACATTTCACAGAACAAATCCCAGACATATATGGCCCAACAACATTAGAGTGTGGTCAAGATGGCAAAGATTATTACTAAAAGACAACAGTAGTTTCCTTTTGCCTGAGCCTACAGAGAGAAGCAAGATTCTGCCGCCTCTTCTCCTCTTCCCCCTGCAGAATTAAATGAGTGCAAACAATTTTTGTACTTTGAATTCAGTTTGCAACAATGGAGGAAACTGGGAATAGGAGAGAGAAAGTGAGACATCTTAAGAACAGCTGAAAAAGTGGAACAGCAGAGAACTAATTGGGACTCTTTCTGACAAACTGGGACAATTTGAGGGTATTGAATAGTTCTGGTGAATTCAACTAAAGATTCATCTAGTCCAACTTCCTTTCTCCCACAACAGCTAATTAAATGTTTCCAGGAAAGCAAAAGCAGGATAGCCATAGCCACCTATTGTAGGTGCTGCCCAGAAAGGGACAAAGAAAAGCTATGAAAGACAATGAAGAGAGACCAGTCACAGAGGGAAAAAGGAAGGCAAACTAAAAGGAAGGGAGAGAAACCATGGCATCAGAAGAGTTGTGGAGTTTGAAGACTCACCATGAACTTTCAAAATGAAAGTGGTTTTCTTAAATAATGCGGCATTATTTTCATTGTGTCCTTCCACTGTGTAATTTCCAGCATCCTTCTTCTCCAGATTATCTATTCTCAGGCTTCCATTGTTTAAAAGTTTGTATTTCTCTGATTTTTCATTTGTAATGTTCCTTATCTTACGTGCAATCAGTATTGCCTTGTTATCAATTGTCTGAATCCATTGTATACGGGATAGCGTGCCTGTGAATTCTGGAGTAGGCAGAAAAACTAAATGACCCAAAATGCCATGAACTTCCTCACTGCTGGATGTAACACCTACAGGGAAGAAAATATACGGATTGTGTCAGACTCTACTCCTTGGATCACTGGATTTTTTAATTTTTTCCTCTATATGGTAATTTGTTTATCTATTTATTTTATTTCTTAGAGTGTACGCCATCGGCAGGCTTTTTTATATTTGTAACTTTATTACTTTGTACAGCGCTGTGTATAATTACTGCGCTCTAGAAATAAAGTTTAATAATAATAATAATAATAATTTTTGGCTTAAGTTCCTGGTTCACCAGATTTTTCAAATTCTAATTTTCTCCATATCTTATTCCTTTCTTCAGGGATATGGGGACAATCATCTGATTAATTATTAGACATAAAAAATTCTCCTTGATGAAATATGGTATCCCAACACATCAAAATACATTGTTGTTGTGTGTTTTTTAAAAAAATCAGCCATGCAAGGTATTTTTCTCCTTTTGGAACTTTTGCAAAAGAAATTGTTTGTAGATAGGATACCTTTTGTGCTAACTGAAACACTGAACAAATGTGTACAAGACAATAATATTGTCTAGTGAGAAGAAAACCTGATTTTTTTTTCTATGCAAGAATGAAAGAAGCAAAGATTTGTATCTGTATTAATTACCAGCCAAACCAAAGTATGATGGCTTTCACCTAACAGAGCCAACAGATGTGATCATATTAAAACATAAAAAGTGTTTGATCCATGAGTAGAACTGCTCCATTGACAAAATGTTTCCTGGATCTGTGTGTTGACATGTGTGTCCATGAAATCCATAATCCTAGCCTTAATATTCACCCAAATGGCACCATTATGTTTCCACTTGACTTGCATGTGGACAGTACAGCCATCCTTAGGAGTGCTGCCCAACTTACATATTTGTAACTACTTGTAATTACATACTAACCTTACTTCCATATTTGCTCTGAATCAAAATTGTTCATATGAGAGACCAAATAATGAAGCGAGGGATCTCACTCATTCGAGCTGACCTATAAACTCTGTTGAAAATTCAGTATTCACATCCAACTTGCTATTTAGCCTAATGGAATATTTTTAATGAACTATGTATCATCCATTAAGATTTGGCCCATCTTCCTTTTTCACATGTTAAAGTCCACTTCAGAATTATCCTAGCCAAACTGACCTGAATAAGAATTGCTCAACATTATTTCACATTGAATTATGCCAAATATCTGCAGCTTAGTAAAACTAAACAATAATCAAGTTACTGACCCATTATACTTAGTTATAATATTAATGTACATAGTCATGTATTTGCAATACCACATTGTCTGAATTAACCTCCAGAGTCACACCCATACTGCAAAACTTTAATTTTGGTACTTGTAATGCAGTAGTATTTTGCCACATCCAGAAAAGAGGAAAGAAGGAATTGGTTGAAAACTCACCTTTCAGGCAAAAGAGAATAGTCATCAAGAATGTAATTAGGAAAATGGTGCCCCACTTCATTTTCAAGATTGTCTTTCCTGTCTAAAGAAAAGTGTGCTGAAGACAAGCATGGGATGTGAGCAGGCTGATCTACTTAGATTCTGCTATCATCACACCTCGCTCACACCTCCTCCCAGGCCTAGGGTACTCTTCCTCTTCTAACATGTGCTAAGGAGCAGGACAGATCTGGGTTTTGTGGCTGTTCTCTTCTCTATACAAGAAATATTTAGCTGACTGTTCCCTTTTTAAAATTTGCCAGATTTGCAGGCTCTGGTGCTTATTGTTGTGCAAATCAAAACAGAACTGAAAGTTAGGCATGTTGCTTGATGTCTTGGAAAGACCCCCAACTCTTCAAACATGGATTTATTTATTTATTTATTTAT